GCGGCGCGCCGGCGCGTTCGGGGGCCGCGGCATTGCACCGGGGGACGGTTCAGGAGGGAGTCGGGCGCTCGGCTCCGGCCACCAACCCTGGGAGCTGGTGGTGGCCGCTTGAAGTTGGGATGGAGTCACAGTTGCAAAGAGCCCGTCGGCTGCTCAGGGCTTTGGGGGCTCGCTGGGCAGCCGTTTGGGAGAATGGATGCACTCGAGGGCGTGGGGCTGTGCAGCCCCTGCGCCACTCTTGGTCTTTGGCCTCCTGATGTCCTCAAACTGCAGCTAAATCACCCAGTGTTGGTCCCACGCTTCTCCTCCGCTTGCTGGTTAGAAGAGCCCGTGGCTGGTCGCTTTGGCTTTATGCAGCGTACGGCAATCGCCCCAGGAGCAGCACTTCGTCCTAATTAATTACCCTCCCGGAGGAACACCGGCATGGTTTTTTTCGGGTCAGACTAGCTCTGTCCTTCTGACTCTGAGCTAAACCGGGAGCAAAGGAGAGGAGCAGGACCCCCACGGGGTCAAACGCCCCGTGCATGAGTGCAGCGATCGGGACCTCGTAGCATCGGATGCTCAAACTGTATTGCACAAGTACATGGCCCGTGCTCCGGAGATGGGTCCCAGCTTGCTTCGCCGCTCTGCCCTCCCGATCCCGGCTCTGGCATCCAGTCACTCCGCCGAGCCTCCGTGCCGCGGCGAGGCCAAAGCGCTGCATGGTGCTCGCCATTCGAGACCTGGTAACGCCTCGTTTCTGGCTGCGTGAGATAGAACGGGGAAGCGCAGCCCGTGGATGAGGGGTTGGACTGGACGGGGTCTGCCGAGTCGGCCCGCGAGCGGCCACGCGCTTCCCCGCCACCATCCTTGATTAATGAGCTCCATCGTGGGCCGGTGCAGATCCAGTGCCATCTGCGAGAGAGCTGCCTTGGTGTAATTTGGGGTGAGAGCTTTATTAGCTCAAACGCGACTGCTGTTCCGCTTGCTTTCATCCTGGGATCCCCGTCGGCTGGAAGCGAGGAGGGAGGGCGAGATGGATCCCTCCCCGCAGACCCGAGGCAGGAGCCGGGCGCACAGGCGGGGGGGGAAGGAAGCTCTGGAGGTTGGGGCTGAGGTTAAGCCATCCAGGAGGAGGCTGCCACAGGAGGACGCCTTGACGCAAGACTGGGGCTTTCTGAGGGTGCTGCAGCTGGAAATGGTGAAAGTCAGAATTAAAAATGACCCGCCGGGTGATTACTTACAGTAAAACAGGTTGGAAAGCAACTTCCAGCCCGCTGGCCTTTGCCGGGGGAAGTGGAGGAGCAGCTCTTCTCATCCAGCCTCATCTCTCCTTTCTTCCAGGGACGAGGAGAACCAGCACCTTCCCAAAGCTACCCCTGACCGCCGTTAGGGTCTGTCACAACCTTTGGCGTTTGTTTAATTTGGAACGCTCAGAAAAACCAAACCCTGGGCGACAAAGTCCCAAAGGCTGCGAGCTCGGAGGGAGCACGTCCCTCTCCTTTCCCGGCAATAGCAACACCGAGCGCTGCGACCGGCAGCTTTTCGGAGGAGGGATTCCTCCTTCGTTACCTTCGATGGGGAGGGAGGGAATGAGTTTCCAATGTAATCTCTGCAGGGGAGGTCCAGCT